ACTGCCACTGCCACTACCACTACCACTACCACTACTACGACTACTACTACTACTACCACATCTACCACTGCCACTGCCACTGCCACTGCCACTGCCACTGCCACTGCCACTGCCACTACCACTACCACTACTACGACGACTACTACTACTACTACTACTACTACTACTACCACATCCACCACTGCCACTGCCACTGCCACTGCCACTGCCACTGCCACTGCCACTGCCACTGCCACTGCCACTGCCACTACCACCACCACTACCACTACTACGACGACTACTACTACTACCACCACTACCACTACCACTACCACTACCACTACCACTGCCACTGCCACTGCCACTGCCACTGCCACTGCCACTGCCACCGCCACCGCCACTCCCACTACCACTACCACTACGACTACTACTACTGCTACTACTGCTGCTACTACTACTACTACTACTACTACCACTACTACTATTAGTGTACGTACACGTATACGTATATGTATACGGAGCAGAGCAGGTAGCAGCACCAGCACACAGCCGTAGAAGGAGGAGGAGCAGTAGGAGTAATAGCTGCTGTTGTGAGAAGACACAGAAGAAGCCTTCAAACTGAACTCCCAGGCCCATTACCCTAAATGCGAAACCCCAATCACCAACACCCAAGCCTTAAACAGTCCTGATCGATAAATCCCCGCAAACCCTATTCCGGTTTTTCCACCATTCATATAAGGCCACCAACCCTGAAACCTGCATAACAGGCCTCTGATTTATTCAACAGCAAGCCTAGTAAGAAGAAGTGACAACAATGATCTAAAGACTCACCGCAACTCAAACCATAAAAGGACCAGCAGCAATAACAAAATCACGCAAGAAGCACTACCGGTAATCACCTAAATAAGCACTGTAATCGAATGAGTACTCGTCAGACTACATACCTGAATGATACCAAAATGCTTCGTTAAGGAGAGGATAGTAGTCATGCCTCGACCATCTTCCAGGCTCTTTCAATCTCTTTCTTGAGATTGGATATCGTCGCCTCGTTTTCAGGGCTGGGCGTTGAGTGTCTCGAATGTAAGGTTGTCGCTATAGGTTGTACCGGGTTTCAAGGGTTTGGCTTCATGCGAAGGGCTTGGTTGCCTGCGAAACCTGGCCTGCTTTGTCTCCCGGGGGATTTAAGGTTAGCGTTGTTGGGATAAGTTGCAGGTTTCGGGCTTGACGGTTTCGAGCTGAGGGTTTACAGCATCTTTCTCAGATCAACACCAAAGAAAGACTGACGGCTGAGGCACGGAAACCACCCCAAAGCCCAGACTACTAAAGCCAAGAACACCAAGAGCTCTATCCAGAAGGATAGAACAGCAAAGCCAGGGGCGGACCTGGTCCTCCTTGGACAGGTTCAAGGCCGTCTGGACCTCGAGGGCAGGAGTGTTCACCAAAATAAGCCCTACTTCACATTTATTCTTTGGCAGCTGCGGGGCATTTGTTGGCACACGCTGGCATGCTTGTCGGTGTGGAGCTTTGGGGTTTTAGGGCGCTAGGGTTTTAGATTTAGGGTTTACGCTTGAGGATGCACTTCGTAGTAGGCTCTACATTCTAGGTGCTGTTGTAAGTTGATGCTTCGAACAGTGGGATTCGGACTCTAGTCGAAGTTCAGATTTTGGAGCGGTGTGGTGGGATGCGGGATGGGGGGAGAAGCACCAGGGAAAGTTGGGCATAGAATTGCAACGAGGCGGGCTGAAGCAGCTCATGCAAAGCCCTACAGCCGGAAGGCCCTGACCCACTGAAACTGCCGGACATACCCAGGACCGTCCTGAGCTTTCCACCTTTCCCCTGACCCCCCTAAGCACTCCCACCCCCACCCCCACCCGCACCACCGGAGCCTTCGTGGCATTGGACACGATCTCCTGGTTCAGCTCACGACCTGCTCAGGGACTCCCGGGTAAAGAGGGCTTATAGGGTTTATAGGGCTTATAGGGTTTATAGGGCTTATAGGGCTTATAGGGCTTATAGGGTTTAGGGTTTAGGGTTTAGGGTTTAGGGTTTAGGGTTTAGGGTGGGCTTTTTGGGGCTCCGGGGATCTGGTTCTCACGCTTCGGGCTTCGGGATCTTGGGCCTTGGGATGCTCCCATGACTCTCGCAGTTCGGGCCTTTTTTTGTTCGGGGGCTTCCGACTCGGCATGTGAGGTTCGGAAGATGCGGATGTAGGATGTTCAGGTTTCTGTCACGACTTGGGTGGTTGTCAAAATTATGGTCCCTTTTTGGGTCCTTATTATAATACGGCACCTATTATTTAGGGTACCCCGAAAGGGACCATAATTTTGACAACTACCCACTTGGGTTTAGGGTTTCGGGCTTGACTCTTGCAAGCCTTCGACACCAAGATTCCAACACCTGAACACCCCCAGACAGGCGCAATCTGAAACCGAATTCCGAAACAGACCCCTACTTGGAGGTTCATGGGTAGTTATAAGTGGAGTTATAAGTCCCCCAATATAAGTCATAATTATAGTTACCCTACTTATAACCCGACTTATAACTACCCATGAACCTCCAAGTAATGTAAGGAAACTCAATCAGACCTAATGGGCGCCCGACACTTCTTGATCAAGCGCTTCTCACTCTCGTGGGACCTAGTGCTGCAGCCCAGCCCGATGCACTTTCGGAGATTGCGTTGTCATTGTTTCGAGTATAATGTTTAGGGTTCTAGAGTCTAGAGAGGTTAGGGTTTAGGGTTTAAAGATGCCTGCTCTTTCCATCCTTGTGCTCCGTTTGCCTGGCAGCTCGCAGATCAGGTGGTGTGATTGGTTTTCGGACGGTTCAACTAGATCTGGGCTGATTCCGAGCGGCCTACGTCCATGTTAGCTTCGACCGTGAGGTGGACAAGCTGCACACTGTGATCTACTTAGAAAGGGCTATATCCATTGTCTCCCACGACACAGTCTTCCGCGGCACAAGCACCAGCAGGACAGCAAGTAAGTCAGCAACAACGCTGCAAGCCAAACCGCCGCATCCTAATCATCGCCACCATCATCGTCTGCATCATCCTCATCGTCAGAAGCCACCTCTTCTACGATGTCACGGTTTTACGCCTTTGTTAGATGCACTGACATCCTCTCATCCGTGATTCTATCACCAGCTTCATTATCATCTTGAGCACCGTTATCATTTTTCGCACGCGCAGGGCTCTCCAGATTCGAGCCCATCAGCACCGACATCATAATCGTTGATTACAAGTCCCACTGTCAGCATCACCATCATCAACAACATCGTTCATCATAACTACTTCCTGGTCGTCATCCATCAAGCTCGCCATCAAGCGAAAGACTGTGGCGAACACGGTGCTACACATCAGGCAAAGCCGCCGACGGGGAGTTCCTCTCACCACCAGAGCTCCCTTTAGAGGGCTCCTTTGAAAGGTTACTACGAGAGCGTTTATAGTGGCTCCTGTAGGGTTTCAGTATAGTAGCCCTCCGACTCAGAAAAAGGTTCAGGGTGGTACAACGGCGCTGTATACTGGGCTTCGGATACTACAAGGCCCTTTTGCGTGAACCACGCCTTTTGCCGAAGGCCTCCCATACCCTTCCCTGCACAAAGGCATTTATGACTGTCAGTTTTCGCCCTGTACTGATGGCTAGTCTCGCTGTCGTTTAAGTTTGAAAGCCCGCCGGTAAATGACCGGGGCTGTGGCTTCTTTAAGGCGCGATGGAGCTTCTCATACTCGAGGCGGAAGTGCTCGAGCGACTTGTCGCCAATAAGCTCCTGAAATTCACGCCGGTCTTGTCAGCAAGAGCCAAGAAAAGGATTGAGGGCTTAGAGTCTGGTATCATGAACGAACAATGCAATAAAACAGATTAGAAGATACTAATTACTAATGTAATACAATGCAGTAGAACATGAAATAAGATGGAGATCACAATCAAAACAGGTGATTCGTGTGACGCCAGCGTCCCAACGATGACAGTGACCGCCAAATTGCAACTCTACCCTGCCCAGCAAAGACATCAAACAAATCACTGCTGCATGAAGATATGAATTCTCTCTGCCCACACACTCATTCGCTCTCGCTCGCACACACACACACACACATCCACTGTCTCTCTCTCCCTCTCTCTCTCCCGCTCCTCTATTGATCTGTTTGTTTTTGCACCTGTCTGCCCACCTCTCTTGGATGTCAACGACACTTGCATGTGCAGCATGTATCTAAGTGTGTACACACAGAGAACTTTGTGGTGAATGTGCAAAGATGTTTATGTCATGATACACAGAATGTCTATGTATGTTGGAAAACGTTGAATCCGTTCCTTTGTTGATCTTTTCACACATAAACTGTTCATCTTCTACATACAACTCTTTTCACACGCATGTATACAGCTTCATTTATCATCTGTCCGTTCATGTGCATGTGCTGCTTCGTCTTGGCCTGTTAAGCGCATAGTCACGTCCTTCAGTAGTAATCCCACATGGTGATGCCGATGTGTTGCCGCAGTAATCTGCTTGCTTGCTGTCTGTATGTGTCTGTTTATATATATATATGTATTTATCTGTATATACATTTACATACAGACCGTGGATGCGAACTATCAGTAAGTATGTTCTGGGTACGGCGACGTACGCTCGCAGGTCAACCATCTGCCCATATGCGCACACGTGAACCCAAACAAGTGGACAAATACATGAGTATACAAATCTAGGTATGTACATATAATATATATTTATACATATGTATATATATATATATACATACACGTTCAAGTACACATACTTATGTACATATGCCATAAACATAAAACTACATTAAATCAAAACTTGCTTTGACGCCGTTCGATGGGTCCTGCAAAACCTCCTGGAAGTCTTTCTCGAGAGCTTCGAAGGCGCTGGACCTCGGATGGCGGGGCTCAGGGAAGAAAGCTGAGGAGGGTTTTGGCAGGGCTTTACACAGGTCTCACAAGGGATTAGCAATGCCGTCAGAGGGTTTAACAGACTTCTGCAGGCCTGATGAAGTTTCTACAAGGGTTCCATAAGGGTTCTACAGGGGTTCTATACTGCTCAACGGTTGTGGCTTTCACGTTTGGCGTTCAGCACTGTTACTTTGGGCTGGCAGCTTAGTGCAACACGTTTGCACGGTCAGGGAGTCAGGCAGGCTTCTATGGTGAAAGCTCGGTGAGTGGTCGAATGAAGCAGGTTTGGAGAATGAAAATCCAACCCACATATGAAGACATCACGGCTCTCAAAAAGTTCAAAAAGCTAAACACCATGAAGTCTAAGACTCAAGATAGAGTCTGCATCCCACACGAAGCCATCTCTATCAGTCCCCATGAGCCCCAAGTGCTTCAACTCGAGGGCATTCCTTTTTTTTTCTATGGGGATCGGAGAGCTGACGGCCGGAGTCCCGAAGCGAAATGAGATCTCTGAGGTTTCGGGTTTAGGGCTTAGGGTTTAGGGTTTAGGGTTTAGAATTTAGGATTTAGGGGTCCCAAAACCCGAAGATCAAGTCTGCGTCGCGGACTCCATGTCATTCCGCGCACTTTCGTCCACAGGGTTCTCCTTGAAGGAGCCTCCGGCTGTCTCAGGGGCTTCGGGCTGCGCTCCTAACCTTGCCGAAGCTTTCCTGCAAGTTAGGGTGTAGGGTTTAGGGTTTAGCGTTTAGGGTTTAAGGTTTAGGGTTTAGGGTTTAGGGTCTTCAAGTCGAAAAGATCCTTAAACCTTCAGAAACGACCCTTAAACCCTCAGGGCCTGAACTCCAAAAGAAAGCTTGAAAGCGCCGAACCGTCGCAAAGGAACCAGGAGGTAACCCTAAACCCTAAACCCTAAACCCTAAACCGTGTCCTGCAGCAGAAGGCTGGCTGGCCATGGCTGCGACTTGCCTCCCAAAGGCTCCATCTGGTTCGGGGTGGGGGGGCTTGGGGGGTTTAGGGTTTAGGGTTTAGGGTTGAGGGTCTCTTCTACAGGGTTCAGAGTTTAGAGGTTTAGGGTTTCGGGCTGTATTGCAGTTTAGAGATTCCTTCGCGGGGTTCTGATGGGTTCCCATGAAAGCTCTACTTCAACAAGCAGGTGCAAGAGCTTTTCAACGTTGTATCGGGTGCAGACGAGTCATACCATTCTACCACTGGGCATCTATGTAACTCGTATATCATATATCACGAATCACGATTGAAGGTTGAGGGCTTAGGGTTTGTCTTCTCAGAAAACTACTTGCGAACGACCAAGACTCACACAAGTGAGTTCCAAACATGCATGACAAGCGCATACGTCCACTCTAAGCACCCAAAACCCATCGTAAACCCTGCTTGTGGTTCCTGCGCACTTGTTCGTTTTGGACAAGGCAGATTCAAGTCGCGAAGAAAGTCCTGAGACGATGGCGTCATGGCGATAGTTGAAGGGATTTCGGGTTTGCCTAACATGATACCAAAAAGATTTGGTTTAGGGGTTTTGGGGGTTTAGGGGTTTAGGGGTTTAGGGTGTAGGGTTTAGGGGTTTAGGGCTTTAGGGGTTTATGGACTTAGGGTTCAGGGTGCAGGATTGGGGGTTCAGGGCTGGGGAATTTGCCAGCTTCTGCGCCTGTCGTGTAGCACCTGTCCGGGGAGCCTCGCAGGGGGCACCTGGGGCAAAACGACGAAAACGGCTACGTCTGAGGGCTTTGGGTTTGTGGGATTAGGATTAGGGTTTAGGGTTAGGGGTTTAGGGTTTAGGGTTTACGATCTAAGGTTTAGGGTTGAGGGTTTAGGGATTGGAGTTGGGGATTTAGGGCTTTGGGTTTGTGCGGCTTTGCGGCTTTGATGGTTTTGGGTTTGTAGGGTTTTTAGGGTTGCTATCATGTCCGGTGCACCGCACCAGTCATGTGGACATACTACGCGAATGTCAAGCAAATCATCCCCACTCAAGCACACAAACTTCAACCTCAAATCAACAAGGGTGCTGAGGTTCACGCAAACTAGGTCACCTTCATTATTTGAAGGTCTTCTGCGGCCGCACTGCCACAGTCTACCACTACAGATTTGAGCTGGAATGTTCCCCAGAAGGTTGCCGTCGGTGGTGTGGAAAGCGGACAATACAAACCCTGCAACCCCGATTCCCTTTCCAACTAACACATCCCGACCCGGCATGCACCGGACCCTGCTTCAAAAACTCATGCCTGACTGGCAATGTCCGAAAACACCGATTGGAGACACTGCCTCAGAAAACATCAACGACAGGGTCATCTGCAATGTGGCCACGCACAACAACCCTGCTACCTTTCGACAAGGCATGACAAGCCCGCGTCACAAATCAACCGCACATATCCAAACTGGTTTGCCACTTGTGGGATAGTTCCCTCGCTGCATTCGTGAGCGGGTCTCGCTGTGGGCTGTGATGAGTTGTGGCCGCGACTGGATTAGACGTTTGATTGTAAGTGGATCTCCACATCGTGTTTCACCCTGAACAGCACTTCAGCTGTGTTTTCGTCTGCAAATTCTTAGTTTGTCAGGAGTTCGTTACAAGAGACTGCAGGCCGATAGTCATCATGCCTCCATAGACTTTGTAGGTTTTGATTTCGGCATTACGCATGAAGGCTGTGCGGACAAGAGATTTGCGAAAGCTGGATGCTGCAACCTTTCTTCAAGCAAATACCATAAGTGCTCCGGCTGGCAGCTGATAAGGAGCAAATGCCGCGGGTGTGGAGTTTGGCGAAAACAAAATTCTTATTTCTTTTGGAGTGAAGTACGGGCACAAGCAGACATATGGGACCGTAAAGAAAATGGAATCCCTCATATGTTCGAAATCGCATATATATATATATGTTCGACTAGGCTTGCACTGCTCTAGCACTGAAAGGGACACTCGTTTTAGCCGTGTTGCATCTGTAGAGGCTCGCGGCTATTCAAAGCAGCTTCAACACTTTACAAAGCTCACGCAGAGGCTCGGGTCAG